GTGTGTGTGTGTGTGTGTGTGTGTGTGTGTGTGTGTGTGTTTATAACTGGGTTTTCTTATCTTTTTAAGACCATTTCTGGTATAAGCACCTACCTTGTTAAGTGTTCTAGTTCTGTTCTAAATAATTTGTTCTAGTTTTTGATTTAAACTTTCTTGAGCTGAGCTTTCATGTACTTGATGACATTTGTTTTATTGGTTCAACACATCGAAATGAAATGTTTCATTAAATATAACACTAGTAGGTTAAGTAAGGTGGTAAAAGTGTTTGATTTTTGTCAGTAATGCTGATATAAACATATTTACCAGAACAATCACAGCCACTTCTCTAATCTCCACACAACACCTGAAAAGTCACAGCATGTCTCCTGACTATTTTTCCATTCGAGACTCTTGGCATTTTAAAAGCAATCTGACACCTGCTTGGCCCCACCACTTAATCTCAGTGGGCTTGTCTGCTGCTGAAAATGTCCTCACTGAGCCCAGAGGCACAGCTCCAGTCACTCAGGTTAACTACAATCACAGGCTTCTGGCAGGGCCAATAACAGAAATGACTCTGGACCCAGGATAAATTTTCATCTTATCTATCCAAATGTCAGCTTCCTGCTTATTAGCTATCACTATCCTGCTGCCAGTCATAAGAGATGAGCTTTCTTCAGCAGCCACGCCCGAACATTTCTAATGTACCTCATGCTGACTTGTACACACTACTTTGTAAAACARCCTTAATTTCTATTTTTACGTCAGCCTGGCTTTGTTAGTCTCGTTATTTTTGTTCTTTGTAGTTTGTTACATGTGGAGAAAATAGTTCTGCTCTTACCCTGACAGATGTATGTAGATAAGAACATATGCTATATCAATAAGATTGTATTTTGATAYGTTTGTATTGATGCTGATGCTTTATATTTAAATGATTAGTAAATTCAAGTCCAAAATGGGATTAGCTGGATAAAATCATAAACAAAACGTTGATTAAATTTTTTCAGGCAGCAGCTAAAAGCCTTAGAAATCAAGTAGTGAAAGAATATCTGATTTTTTTTTTCTGAAGCTAACAGACAATCTGAAGTCTAATAGCTTCCTACTTCAAGTCGTCCTCCTCCAATGTATTCTATCTTCACTCTAACTACTTCTATGTCCTCTAAAACCGCATCCATTTGCTCTTTGACCTCTTCTTTACCTGTTTAACATGCCGGTTGTTTTCCTGGACAGTCGGCCTTAAGTACTTGAAGTCCAACACCTTTGTGACCTCTGCTCCTCATAGCGTCACTGTTCACCTGCCTCTCTCATTCACACACCTGTCTTATTACGACTTTCATTCCTCTTTTTTAAAGTGCGTACCTCCACCTCTCCCGGTTCTCTTCCACCTGTTCCCTGTTATCATCACATATCACGATGTCATCTGCAAACATCATGGTCCACGAGGACTCCTGCCTGACCTCATCTGTTAGTCTGTCAGAGCAAACAAGAAGGGGCTCAGAGCTGATCCTTGATGCAGTCCCGCCTCCACCTTGAAGCTCTGTCACTCTGACAGAACATCTCACTACTGTCCTGCTGTCCTCATACACGTCCTGTACCAGTCTAACATACTCCAGATCTCACACTGTCAATCTTTTTCTAAATTCATAAAGACACAACAAAGTTCTTTCTGACTTTCTTAGTACTTCTTAATAGGGCTGGGCGATATGGCTGAAAATGTGTCACGATAAGTGTTTTATATCAGTCAATATTGATAGTTATTGGATAGTTTTTTGTTTTACCAATGTGAAATAAGGACCAGGAGAAAACAGGCGGATTAAAACTTCCAAAATGGTGACGTGACCTTTCCTCTTATTTCTTTTATCTACAGTTTGAGCTGTTGCACTCATTTTTTTCCTTTCACTCGCTATTCATTTTTATTTCTAAGCAGTTATGAGGCAGTGGTGCAACTGGAAATTGCTACTGTGCATGTTACTCAACAGGTTGTTGCTTTCTGACCAAAGAGTGAGAGAGTTGGTTGATGCCACAAGCCTTGCTTAGTTGGGCCGTGAGAGTTTAAGCTACTAAAGCCTTTCCTCTTCCCAGAATGTCATCTGGTTCTGGATCAGAGTTCAGTGAAATTATCAACATTTTATCAGATGCATTTTCTATCTATATCGATCGTGGGTCTATCACTGTATAATGTTATATTGAAATAGATTGTCTATTGCAATATACTGTATATTGTTATTGACTTATTGCCCAGCCCTAGTTCTCAATAAACAGCAAAGATGGTATCTGTGGTGTTCTTGCTCAGCATTGAACCATATTGCTGCTCACAAATAGTCACCTCTTGCATCTAGCTTCAACAACTTTCTCCCTGATCTTCAAGTGACTCATCAACTTAGTTTCCCTGTAGTTGCTGCAACTCTATTGCCCCTTTTCCACTAGTGCCACGTGTAGTGTCTGTTCAGTTCGGTACGGTTCCAAGCCATTTCCATTAGGCCAGATTCTTGGAACCAGCCCTTTTTTTAGTACCTCCTTCGGTGTGGTTCCAAGTAGTCCCAGTCCACACCAAAATGTGACATCAGAACACTGTTCGTCACTGATTGGCTGGGGGGTGGAGTCGCTGGTTGCGTCTAAAGTGTTATTACAACAACAACTTGAGGTGCCTTTTTTTTTTCAATTGTAGCAGTGACATTAGTCATGTTTCCATCCAGTTTTAATTCAAATTTTTAGCGAATTTTTAAAATTTCAGAACTTATTCCGCAAATGTGTTTCCATCTCTCATTTTGCGCATTAACTCTTTTTTTTGAAAAACCCAAAAACCACCTCCACCAACTGCCCAAAACACACCCACTGGAACCGGATTGGAACGTCAATGGAAAAGCACCCGAACTGACCCATTCCGACACTACACTAATGTACCTTTTCCACTAGTGCCACTTAGTGTAGTGTTGGTACGTTCAGTGTTGGAACGGGTCAGTTTGGGTGCTTTTCCATTGACGTTCCAGTTCGGTTCCAGTGGGTGTGTTTTGGGCGATTGGTGGAGGCATTTTTTGAGTTTTTTGAACAAAGTTAATGCGCAAAAGAGAAATGGAAACAAATTTGGCGAATGTCTTTTGAAATTTTAAAAATTCACTGAAATTCAAATTAAAATTGGATGGAAACACAACTAATGTCACTGCTACAATTGGAAAAAATGGCGCCTCGAGTTGTTCTTGTAAAGGCAGCTTAGACGCAACCAGTGACTCTACTCCCTAGCCAATCAGTGACGAACAGTGTTCTGACGTCGCATTTTGGTGTCAGCTGGGGCCGCTTGGAACCACAATGAAGTAGGTACTAAAAAAGGGCCGGTTCCATGAATCTGACCTAATGGAAATGGCTTGGAACCATACCGAACCGTACCGACACTACTCTAAGTGGCACTAGTGGAAAAGGGGCATAGCACACTTCTCCATTCCTCAGGCATTTTCTCATTTGTCACCACTAAATATTAAAGTCAAAAACGTCAGTGCCATCACTTAATTTTATTCTTTGTTTCCACACCATGATAAAACAGCCTACACTCTGTCCCAATGCTGTGAGCCATAATACATTACTGCATTATGTCAGTCAGTTCTTGACATTTGCCTGTCATCTTGGCTACATTTAAACTTTCCTCCTCACCCCTGTGTCCTGGCATGYTTCCCACACTGTGGTCTAACAGAATTTATGCCGGCACCCTCTTTGTCAACAGCACCGGTGGCGATTGTTGTTAACCCAGGCCACAAKCAATCTGATACGATCATGAAATCTCTGTCTACTATGTCCAATTGAAACATGATCTCAATCGAAATGTGATCAAATCTCACAGCAACTGTTGAAGATGTGTAATTGGCTAAAGAAAAACTAGCTAGCAACTGACCATGTGTGCCAAGCTAAAATCACAGTTGGTATAAAAATGTGTTGCATTAAAAAAAACTTGAGTAACTGTGCAGCAAATTTTGTTGATGATTTTCAGAAGAAATTCACTAATGAAAGGAAACATGAGGACCAAATGAACAACAAAGAAATCTGTTGGTGTCTTATTGAAGGAGCAACTATTATTTCTAAATGTTTAAAAATAATCAAGTATTGTTCATGCACTATAACTATGCAGTTACAGCTAGTATATTCATTAATAGACTGCAAAAAGATCATTTAAACCTGGGCTTTTTCCCTAAATGTTTTCTTTTCCTCTTCCCTCAAAGGACGATGGTACATCCGTGAGGGGTGGCTAAAGATCGTTCCTGTAAAAGGCACAGAGGCTAAGCCCAGGATGTTCTTCCTGTTCTCGGACATGTTGCTGCAGGCCAAGCGTTGCAGCCCTCTGCATCCTACCAGTGGAGAGAAGTTTGTTGGCCAACATGCCTACCCTCTGCAGGATGCCACTGTTGAGAAGGTGTTTGGTCACACTAGAAGCCAGGGTGGTCTACTCAGTGTAAGTGTCACATTGGTCTTTATTGGTGTTTAGTGCTGGGTTCTGAAGTTTAGGAGCGTATTTCACTGACTCGTCTCATGCATTATTAAAGATTATTCTAGTGATTTCCAAGTCTGAACAAGTACAAAAGAATTCAGAGTTTGTGTTTACTGTCTCACCTCAACATTCCCTTTATTTTTACAGGATTGTGATGTGATACAAAAACAATATAGATACATTTTAATAATCATCCATCCATTATCTTTAAACACTCCTTTCTTTCAGTATCATAGGGGTCACTGTGTGAGGGGTGGGGTACACACTGAACAGGTCACAAGTCATCACAGGGACACAGAGGCAAACAAGACAACCAACCACTCACTCTTCTCACACCTAGGGATAGTTTAGAGTTACCAACTTAAATGTCCATGTCTTATTTTACATAAATAAACATTAATTTGTTTCATYCCTGATAAAGAGAGCAGAATAACAAATGTCAACATTCAATACAGGCTCATGAGCAAAAATAAGCACCATGCTAAGTCAGTATTTATCCCTGAAAGTTTATATATTACTTATAGACATAATACTCTTCAGGTTCAGGATCTCAAAGCACAGTCATGGGCAATAAGTTATTTAACACCAACTGGTGCAATGAGTTGCTTCTCACTTGTCGAAACACACATCCCGCGGTTGTGGAAAAGATGTCAGCCTGTTTGAGAAGGGTCAAATTACTGGCGTCAAGCAGAGAAAACATCTAAGTATATTACAGAAACTACTAAAATTGGGTTAAGAGCTGTCCAACGCATTATTAAAACCTGGAAGAATAGTGGGGACCCATCATCTTGGAGGATGCACCCATCATTAGGGGTGTCCCGATCCGATATCAATATCGGATATCGGTCCGATATCAGC